AAAAAAATAAAAAATAGAATTACACATCATGATTCTTTAACATACTGTTATGGTGTACAGTCTGTACATAACGTCATTCATCCCACCAGTTTCTTCATTTAAAGATCGCCAGTGTCTCTCAATCGTATACTGATAAATCACATTTTGTACACGTTGGTAGAAATAGTCCGCCATTTTTGTCACCATTTTTAGAGCTTGATTGTTGCCAGCTAAAACATACTGATCGACTAAACCCGCCATTATCTGCCATTTTTACAGGAGATTATGAATTAAACTTGATAAAAATAAATCAAATTGATGAAATTGATGAAGATTTACCTTGTGAATGGTGTAATACGGAGCCCAAACTGGTTGTACAGCTTCAAATCGATCAAAAAACTCAGATGGAAAAGCAGAAAGGTAACCGGTGTTCATCTTTTCCTGACATTCACCGAGTGCAGATACGACTGCAGTCATCTTGTTTTTCAGAGTTTCATCACCAGTGCTAGCCCACATTTGAGCTGTGGCACTCATGTAATGCCCTTCAAAAATTATATCAAATTAGTGAAATGCTCATCGTAATCATGAATATATAGTTTTACAAGGAAATTAGAGAAATTGAATCGGGTTGTGGATCAGAAAAAGGGTTGGAGAAACGTTAAACGTATACAAGTATACCAACCTACGAAATGACCGCGAAGTTCTTGATTGGGGGATTCCCAACCGCCGTAGGCGGTGCCCGGAGTGGGTAAATCGGCGTTTTTTCTAAAGCTCCAAACTAGACTATCGACATCGAGCATTAACAAGTATTTCAAATTGGTTTGTTGAGCTTGACCATGGATTGAATCAGGGTCTAGTCTGACATCACCTAAGGGAACTTCATTTAAGAAATTCCCATTAAAATCAGACTTCTTACCTCCTTGATTTTGATTTTTCATCTGTCTATAAGTCATCATCCACGCGAATTCATCTTCCTGTTTCAGGACTTTCCTAGGGAGTAAACTTGCCCAAGCGGATTCATCAGTCGGGGTTAAATGGTTGTGATTGTGAGACGATAACACTTCTTGTTTCCATGTTTTGTTTTTGGAATTCAGGAATTGGTATCGGAAAGTATGGGATGAGAGCTCGGTTGGAGTGTTAGTACATTCCTTACTAAGAACAGAATCAGAAAACAAAACGAAAACGAAAAAGAAAACAGATAGCATCTTCAACAACGTGAATGATTTCATTTTGTTGAAGAAATATCAGCAGATGCGATAAGTTATCATCAGAAATCGGAAGACCCCATATATCGAATTCAATTGAAATACCTAACCTGTAACTACTTAAAAGACAATCAATAACGAATGGGACAGGCGATTAAGTCTCGTGAAAGGCAATAACTGTTAATGGAAATTCTAACAATGAGTGAATAAGCATCAACAACCGAATCATACATAGACAATCGAAAACGAAAGCGAAAGCGAAATGGAATACAGTTGTGAAAATAGTAATGATTGAAGTAGAAAAACGAGATACACAAGAATTTACAGAAGCTTGATTACTTTGTGGGAAGTAAAAGTAATGATAAAGGGAAATAATGTCGTGTAAGATAAGAAAAAAGGGAAATTCCCCAAGAAGATTGAAAGTAACTACAAGACAGAAAGAACTCACGGATTAGGTGTCGTTATCTATGGAGGATTGATCATCAAAGTGTGTGAAACTGAGTGTTAACATTATCAAATTAAGTGTGAGTGACAGATAGAGAGATGGAGACAAATGGGTTTTCGGATTTGAATTTAAAATTAGGAATTTGGGATCCGTAAAAAGGCAAACAGTTTTAGGGTTGGCCTGATAAATTTCTCGTGTTCTTGCGTTCTTGCTCCCCGCCTTTTTGTTTGGTTTGTTAGGAAATACCCACTGACTGCTCAGAAAAAGCCGCTTTTACAGTGCTCTGATTGGATACACATTCGAATTGATCTTGAATTAAATGAATTGTTGGGATTTATTTTATATTATTTTTTATAATTACTTTAAATAATGTTCTTCTAACATTTAATTTTAGAAAGTGACTTCTCTATGATATCATTTTCTAAATATGGAATATAATTAAAGTGGCTGTTTTGAAAAACCTGAATATATATATATATATATATATATATATATATATATATATATATATATATATATATATATATATATATATATATATATATATCATCTTGTAAACAATATTATATTGTATATAATGCTAGTTAGGTATCTGGGTTAGAGTACTTGTCCTTTAGCATGTGGGTTAGGATCCATAATCACAAGACACAAGATTCTTGTAAACTATTATGACATCACAACTTTAAATAAAATCGTTTTCTTATCGAAGATTATTGCACATACGTGATTACATAATTTTTCGCATATCTAACCCTCTTGTGATCCTTTGTTGGAAATTTATAAGGAGTAAATTGCAGGTTATCAATTTCCTTTGTACCATATTGGTGAGAAGAATAAACTTTTGTGGGTTTATAAGACTTGCATTACCCTAATCCTACAAAGGTTTTAGCGAAGTATAATGGATGAGCCAAGTCCACATGTGTGTTTAGTCGCCGAGTATGCGAGGTTCGTGAAATGGGCAATTTTTGAGTATTCGTTTTGAGTTTATTGGTTCTTCCATTGTTGGAATGGATGATAACTACATTAAATGATGTGGTTCTACGTTGAACAGATGATAACTACATTAAACATTGGGGTTCTATGTTGTAGCTTACATCCACTAGAGTGCGTAAAAGAATACGAGTCATTTTGTGAAGTTACCAATTAAAGATCTGCAATCTTGTAAGTTGTTTTTTATTTTATGTCTTGAATTTTAATTAAAGTTCTGGTTGTTTGTTTGTTTTTTTTTTCTGAGTATTTGCTTTGAGTTTATTGGTTCTTCTATTGCTATTGGAACACATGATAACTACATTAAATCTCGGGGTTCTATGTTGCAACTTACAACCATTGAAGTGCATAAAACCTTTAAGAATATGAGTCATTCCATGCACTTACCAATCAAGATCTGCGATTTTCTAAGTAGTTTTTCTTTTTTTAAAATTTTTGTATCGTATTTAGTTCATTTGACAACGTGTCAATCTCCTTCTATAAATTTTATAATAAAATATAACCGTGAATGATCAAACTCATTTCAGTTGTTTCAAAAAAAGGATCAAACTCAATTATATATGAAATTTAGTAACTAATTAATAATAATTTAATTTATTATTCGTAACTAATCGACATATAATTTTTAATATTATTTATTAGTTTGTTCGCTTTGGATTTCATACATATTATGAAATACAACATCATTTGGTTCGATTTAGTGATTTGGTTTCCATTTTTTTATCACATCCCTAATTGTGCTAAATCCATGGCAGATCTATCCTTATTACTTTATTAGAGTGGGGCGAACTTTTAGCAACTTGATTTCTATTAATAACAGTTGGGCTTAAACTAAAAGATAACAAATGATGCCCTCAATGGTGGCTGACCAAAGAAACTAAACAACATAAATTAGATTAGAGATCGATAGATAAAAGGTTCTAGTTTTAGGCATTAGATTAGTATACCTTTTGATGATAAGATGCGACGTAACTTTTATGATTTAAGATTATTTTAAGGCTTTACGACATTTAATTGACCTATTAATAACATAGAATCTTTCTTCTACTATAATAAATGAAGATAATTTTGCCACTAATCTCTAATGAGTTTTGACACTTGTCATTTTGTGATATTTTTTAAATAAATAATATCCACATGTCAACTTATGGTTTTTTTTCAATTTTTAAAATTAAAAAGTCATATAATCTTATACTTATAAATGTAAAGTATCAAATGTAATAAATATTATAATAAATTGCAATTAATATGTTTCATTTCTTATTTCAAAATTTTATTTTAAAAAATACTTATTATTTACATTTTAATATTTTAATTTCTTTAATCAACCCGTATAATATACGAGTTTTACATCTAGTTTGTAATAATTTTCAAGTAAGAATTTTTAGGCGTATTTTATAAAAGCTTAATTACAAATGTAAAGTTTATTTTTAATGTATCGAGTTCATGTATCATATTTATTTATAAATGTGTTATAAATATAATTTTATTTATTTAATATTACCGTAATGAAAAAAATAGATTATATATTTATTAAAAGGTAATTAATACGAATGTTTTAAAAAAATAGATTATATATTTATTAAAAGGTAAATAATACGAATGTTTTTTATAATTTATGTAAGTTGCAAAATGATATATATATATATATATATATATATATATATATATATATATATATATATATATATATATATATATATATATATATATATATATATGGAACCATGTATTGATTTTGTTGTATATAGATTACTTGTGTAGTTTCATAAAGGACGTACCAAAAAATTCTAACCAAAATTTGCATCTAACTGAATGATATTCCTTAAAACAAACCACAAAGCCCATGAATAAATAGATTTGTTTTACCAACAAAAAGATTATACAAATACAATCTCCAACACGTTATCCTTTCACATTTCATGTAATTTTTTTCTTTGTTAGGATATGGTACCTCATGGGGCCAAGTGGCCACAGTAGGCTAGTGCCTTGTATCATGTGACGAAGTTAGGGAGTGGTTAGGTGTTGCGGTCACATCCAATTTATTTTAATAATTAATCAACTTGTTCAAAAACATTTAATAGTCTTTGGTCCCCTAAAATAAGAACATAACCCAATTGTACATTTTATCCGCCTTTTTACATAACTTTTAGTTTTGCCAATATTTCTAGTTGGAGGAAAGGAGCCTAAAACTCCAACAAGAGAAGGCTAGCTTTAAGCTTTCTATAAATCATGCACGCATAAATGTGAATGTTTGGTAAAAAAAATAGAACTTATATATTATAGAGAAATAGGGTTGCATAGAAAGAATAGGCTTCATAACAAATAAACAAAATAACATTAAACTGTATATCATAAATAGACATAAACGTAGACCATATGAATCAAATAACACCGAGGATCGAAGTACACTGACCTACAAAATGACCACGAAGCTCTTGATCCGAAGACTCCCATCCTCCGTAGGGGACACCCAGAGTTGGCAAATTGGCTGTCTTCCTAAAGCTCCAAACCAAACTATCAACTTCTAACATCATCAAGTATTTCAAATTGGTTTGTTGAGCTTGACCATGAATCGAACGAGGGTCCAATCTCACATCACCCATGGGAACTTCCTTTAAGAAGTTTCCAGACACTAGATTTTTCATATGTTTGTACATCATCATCCAAGCAACTTCATCTGCTTGTTTCAATGGTTTTCTAGGAAGCAGATTGGCCCAAACATGATCATCGGTTGGAGTCAAATGGTTATGAGATAACATCTCCTCCTTCCAAGTCATGTTATCCGAATTCAATAATTGGTAACGAAAGGTATGTGATGAGAGCTCCGTTGGAATGTTGGTACATTCCCTGCTAACAACACAATCAAAAAACAAAACCAAAAGCACAACAAATAGCATATTCAATAACGTTAAGGATTTCATATTGTAGAAGAAATATGAAAATTTGGGCATAACTTAGTATCGAAAACGAGTGAGATGAAATTCAATGTGGGAAAGGATCATAAGATATCAATTTCTTTATAGATGATTTGAGAGAAAGAGAAAACGAGTAAAGAGAATTTATAGAGGTTGTAACAAGAAATAATGTTCTAGGAAAGATACAAAGAAAATGCATGCTCATAAAGGTTATTTGTAAATGACATGGAGAATGCCGGTGGGTGCTGTGATACCATCTTTTTAGTTTTTATATTAGGAGTTACATATGATGTAAGTTTCATTTTTCAAAAACAAATCTTATAGAACTGATTCCATGATAGTAAATTCCTCCATTGATCATGCTTTCAAGTTTTTCAACGACAATCTTCAAAGTGTGACTTATTTTGCAAAGTTATTTTTTATAAAATAACTTTTTTTATCTAACAACAACTTTAAAACATATTTTGTTTTTTTTATGAAACCTAACTGTTTTCTTGTAAACATAGTTGTTAAAACATGAAATGTCTTTAATTTTAATTGTTTTTTCAATATGAGGCGGTTTGATAAATTATAACCTCTAATTGAAACCATTCGTATGACACTTCTAAACCAGTAAATATTTAACACGTTTGATATAATTTTTGAACGATATATGTGTTAATTTTGGTATGAACATGAACGTGAAATGTAGAGAGAGAAAGAAGAAATAGAGAGAAGGAATCTGTTTTATTATTCGTCTGTTACTAACTTATTACATCTTACCAGTAAAACAAAATATTAATACAAGTTAATCACTAACTAACTTGATATGGAAGCTTAACCAACTAACAGTCACGTGATAAACACGTGAAGTTATTAACAAATAGTTGTGAAGACTAACTAATATACCCCCCCCCCCCCCCCTTCAAATTGGAGAGTGTTGCGCTCCCAATTTGTTTAATAGAAAATGATGTTGCTTGCTTTTGTGAATAAATCAGCAGGTTGAAGATCAATATCACCAATTGTGCTCTCTATTGAGCAAGCTTAAAGATAACAATGTTGGACAAGAATCTTCACAAGTCTCTGCAAATTTGGCTGGTAATGCTTTATTCTCCCAAGATATTTCTGATTATCCAATTAAATGTCATTGTCTTGAAACTAATACAATGACATGGATAATAGATTCAGGGCCAGTGATCATATGTGTTTCAATAAATCCGCTCTTATTAATATTCAAAAGCTCAAAAATCCTTATCGTATCACTTTACCAAATGGTCAACAAACTGATGCTCATGAGTTTGGGAGTGTTGTCTTAGCCGAATCTGTTATACTTCATCATGTTCTTTATTTCCCTTTATTCAAATTCAATCTTCTTTCCATAGCCAAATTGTGCAAACAATTAAGATCTTTAGTTGTTTTTTCAGAAAATTCTTGTTTCTTGTTATAGGGCCCTTCTCAGAAGAGGCCTCCGGTTCTTGGTAGACATCGTGTTGGGTTTTATTTTCTTCAATCAACTTCCAGTATAAATGAAGGAGTAGTACTTTTTGTTACTTCAACACCAAAATTTCATTCATTTGTTTTGTTTCCATCTTGTAATGCTGTTTCTAAAATAATTTCTGTATCTGTTTGGCATAAAAGACTTGGACATCTTCCTATGTACAAGTTAAAAACTCTTAATTTGCTTAATAAATCACATTTCATTGACACTTCTTGTGATTCTTGTGAAGTTTGTTCTAAAGCTAGACAACACAAACTCCCATTTTCCATTCGTTCTATTCATACTTCAACAATTTTTTAAATGATTCATGTTGATACATGGGGCCCCTATCACACTAAAACTTATGGTAATCATTCATACTTTTTGACCATTGTGGATGATTACTCAAGAGCTACATGGACTCATTTACTTAGTACAAAGAGCAATGCATTTAGGGTAATTAAAGGATTTATTGAAATGATTGAGACCAAATTTGGGAGAAAATTAAAGGTCTTAAGAACAGACAATGCTTATAAATTGGGGTCAAGTAATGAAGGGATTTATTTTCTACAACAAAAAGGTATCATTCTGATGGGTTTTGAGCAAAAGAATATCCTATGTGCACATGCAAAACCCTAAAGCTTTGGATCTAGGTTTCTTTATTGTACATGCAAATTTATCCAAAACTTGAAACCCTAATCTATCATACTATTAAAATTAAGATCTATAATATAACAAGTTTAGATGATACCTTTCAATAGTTGCAAGAATCTTCGATCTTCAAAAGCTTAGTATCACAAGTGTAATACCTCTAATGGCTTACAAACACCAAGACAAGAAGATAATTGAGAAGAGAGGAGGAGGAGGCACAATTTCGGCTATAGTAACTCTAGGGTTTCTTCTGGTAGCCGAAAACTGTAGCCCTGGGGTCCCTTAAATAGCTGGGCAGCTAGGGTTTCAGTCAAAACCCTAACTGGATGACTTAGGCCCTAAGTAGCTCCAATAATCTTCTGGAATAAGCCCATTGGACCAAATTAAAGGGGGCTTCCACTCTAAATTTCGTCCCCCTTATTTCCATAAGAATTCACAGCCCAAAATCAATTATCTTATAATTGACAGTTTCAGTCCCCCTTATTTAATTAATCTCTTTTAGCCACATAATTAATTCTTAATTAATTCTTGACCAATATTAATTAAACTATATGATTTCTCTTTGAATATATTATTCATATAATATATTAATAAACCATAATAACCTCTCTCTCTCTCTCTCTCCATAAATCATCCTGTCTAATTGCTTTGGTGAAGGCAACCCAAAAGGACCATGCACAACCGGGTCAAGTACATATCAAATATAGTTACAGACTTAGACACTAATCCAACAGTCTCCCACTTGGATAAGTTTAGTAACTATAAATGCAAGTACGACTTCAAGATCCGATTAGCAATCGTAGCTCTCAAAGATGTTGTCGAACTCTGATCTTATCAACAACCTGTCCTGTAGATAAGGGATCGTACAGTCCTTCGTTCTAGATACCGTGCAGACAATTACATGGAACATAGTCATACTTATTGTCCAACAATTTATTTCTCGATCTCTGATTCGTCTGACATAGAACTTAATTGAACACATCAATTCAGTCCTGACCGGGCCCGTCACATAAGTCAAACTAAATCATCGAGGGTCCCAGCTATCACTTTTACCCTCTTAGGATAAAAGGAACAGATAAACTTCGACTTATATGCATTTACTATTCACTCATCGAATCATGCACAACAATGCGTTTTATAACATCAAGTTACTGATGCGTTTACGCATTATCAATGCACAACCAACTTGCAAACAATAAACCATATATCTAGGTTTCAAGACCATATGATATTATCGTCTTGCGATCACTCGTGATAAATTCCATGAAGTGATACCAGCAAGCGTGGGTTTAATCAAATGCTCAAATCTTATTCATAAACACTCATGAATGTTGCAACAAACTTTTGCTATGTCTAATACACTTTAGACAGTCTACAAACCAATTCATGACAGGCTTCTTTCATACCTACTTCCAAAGTATAAGCAACTGTGGACTGTTCGAATAATCTTATTATTCAGGAAGTCAAGACATGCAAAATGAAACAACAGGTAAACAATTAACATAAGACAGTAACTTTACTCATAAATAATACTCCTTTATTTAATCATCAAATGTTAATTACAATTTATCTATTACACGTTTCGAAACTATCTAATCTAAACTAATATCGTCCTTCAGCCCAATGCTCCTAGCGTGCTGCAAGTGCTTAACCCTACTCAGTCCCTTCGTAAGGGGATCTACTGGGTTATCTTCTGACGATACCCTCTTCACTATGAGGAGTCCCTCTTCCACCCGATGTCTAATAAAGTGATATTTCCTGTCGATATGTCGGGATCTGCCATGATCCCGAGGTTCCTTGGTCAAGGCAACCGCACCTTCGTTATCACAGAAAATTTCCATAAGCTCCTTTAAGGCTGGAACAACTCCAAGGTCTCCGATGAAGTTTTTCAACCATATAGCCTCCTTTGATGCTTCGCTCGCTGCAATGTAATCTGATTCACATGTTGAACCAGCTATAGTCTCCTGCTTGGAACTTTTCCAAGTTATTGCTCCTCCATTTAGGGTAAAGACCCAGCCCGACTGAGATCGATAATTATCGTGGTCTGTCTGAAAACTGGCGTCACTATACCCTCGTACCCTTAAGTCATCACTCCCACCGAGGACTAGAAACCATTCCTTGGTCCTCCGAAGGTACTTAAGAATGTTCTTGACTGCGCTCCAATGTGCTCTACCAGGGTTCCCTTGATATCTGCTGACCATGCTCAAAGCGAAGGCCACATCAGGGCGAGTACATAGCATACATAGCCAACTAGCTACTCGATCTGAGCTCAACTTTGAGCGGTATTTCTTTGGATCGGTAACTCCCCTTTCTTGGAATTCTCCATACTAAAACGCTTTAGTACCTTATCCAAATAAGTATTCTGACTAAGTCCTATTAGTCTTTTACTCCTGTTTCTCACTATCCTTATTCGCAAAATATAGCCAGCCTCTCCGAGGTCCTTCATAGCGAAACACTTCCTAAGACAGGACTTAACCTCCTGCAGGGTCGGGATGTCGGTTCCTATGAGTAGTATGTCATCGACATACAATACGAGGAAGCTAACTATACTCCCACTGGCTTTGACATATACACATGACTCATCCTCGCTTCGCAGGAAGCCAAACTCTTTGACTTTCTCGTCGAAACAAAGATTCCATCTGCGAGATGCTTGTTTCAATCCATAAATGGATTTCTCAAGCTTACACACTCTATTGGGATGCTTCGCATCGACAAAACCCTCTGGCTGACTCATGTAAACATCCTCAGCCAACTT